TTCTGACCCTCATCCATGCTGATCCCTGAGCCCTGTAGAGGAGGAATTCTGATATAGATTGAACACTCCAGTCTCTTATGTTCTTCAGGTTGACAAGTTGTGAATTTTGTATTAACATTTATTTGGGGAAGCAGAGGAGTGACTAAACAAACTTTGATGAGCATTGAGAGGTATGCTACTCTATGGATAGAAAGATAAGGACTTAGTATTGGATTTTCCCCTCAGGTCTGTGACCTAGCCCATCACAGGTTTGGAGCTTTAACTCTACTGAGAAAGTCATTGACCTCTATTGCTCCAGTTAGGATATTCTTGTCAGGCCAATCATCATTGAAGCTGGCCAAGTTCACAGCTGAGTAAGATTGTTGATTTCTTGTTCTTCTTGCACTACTATGATAGCTAGCCATAGGGGTGAAGCATCAATATCTGGTTTGCTTTCTCCATGTCCATTTACTCCAGTATGTAGTATCTTTAGTATTTACTAGTGGAAGTTTACAAGTTCTGGAAGGTAACCAAGAGCATTTGAAATAGTTTGTAATGTTTTGGGGTAAGGGTTGTTCTGTAGGACCCATGTGACCAAAAGCTTGAAAAGAGGTAATCCATACAGGACACTGGGCTTATTTGAATCTATGGTGTCTGGAAACAGCATTTTTCCTACCTCTTCTTACAAGGAAATTTCAATTAAATTTTTATATATGTGTGTGCAGGTAGGTTTCCACATGGTTTTGTCAACTGTTTTCAATGTTAGTCATTATATTTCAGTTACTTTTCTTTTGCTATAGTAAAGTACTATGACCATGACAACTTACAAAAAGAAGACTTCTTTTTGGCTTACACTTCCAGAATGGTAAGAATCTGTCATGGTTAGGGGAGACACAGAGAGCAAACTGGAAGTAGAGAAAGGTTATGAAAATTCGAAATCTGTCCCAAGTGATGTACTCCTAGCACCACTAACTGGAGACCAACTGTTTAAATACCCAATCCTCCTGAGGGGTTGCATTCCCTTTTTAAACCACCACGATTCTCTCTCTCATACTCCATCCTCTACCCTGACCTCCTATCCCATATCATTAAACATTTTCTGTTTCGTTAATCTTCCCCGCATTATACCACCTGCATTCTATTCTCCTTCATTTGAATCCTCCATGATCCCTTACTAGTTTCTTCACTTCTGTGGGTATTCCAATTTAAATACATGCATATAAAGATTCAAAGCTAGCTCTACATTAGAGAGACAGCATGTAACATTTGTCTTTTTGAGTCCAAACTTTATTCACAATGATTATTTCTAGATTGTTTTCTTACTGTGTATGAAGTGGCTTTCCTTATCTCTTCTGACTGTTTTGTCAGATACTAGGTTAATTAACACCTACTTGTTTCTTAGTTCCATTTACTTGCTGTTTTAGTTTGCTTTCTGTTGCTGTGATAAACGCCACAACCAACAGCAATATGGGGTGAAAGGATTTTCATATAAGTCAAAGCATATACATTGTCATCACAGTCCTTCATTGAGAGATGGATGTCAGGGCAGGAGGAACTTAAGCAGAATAGGAACTGCAGCAGGACCCTAGAGGAACGCTGCTTACTGGCCTTCTCAGCCTGCTTTCTTGTTCAACCGAGGACTACCCAACCATGGGTGGCATTCTCTACCATGGCCTGAGCTCCCCACCCAACCGCACACAAGAAGATGCTTCACAGGCTTGCCTACACACTAGTCTGAAGAAGACATTATATAGATTGAGAGTCCCTCTTCCCAGGTAACTCTGGCTAGTGTTAAAATTTATTGAAAGATGTGTGTTTTGTTTTGTGGTTTTTCTGACCTCTTTTTTTCATTAATTTTTCTGGAGTTGCTTATTCTTTGTGATCTCTTCGGTTTGTCCCTTTCTTCAGATTGAAGTATTCCCTTCCAGAATCACCTGATAGAGTTGGAGTACTGCTCATAAGTTCTTTATTTTGTTTTTAATATGTGGTTTTGCTAAGTATAATATTCTAGGTTGACAGTAATTATCTTTCAGAACTTACAATACATCTTTTCAGGTCTACTGCCTTTTAATTTTTCAGTTGAATATTCAAATGTTAGTCTAATGACTTGACTTTGTAAGTGTCTTGATCTTTCTTGGAACATTTTTTTTATTTTATATTTTTAATGTTTATGTTGGGTTATGGGGAGTTGTGGTCCACCCCCACCCCTCCAACCCCGGGTGTGTCTATTTGGGAGTCCTGTAAGCCTCTTTAACCTGGGTGGGCATCTCTTTCTCTGAGTTAGGGAAATTTTCTGATTTTACTGAAAATATTCTCTATGCTTTACTATATTATTGTTAGGTCTTTTCATGTCATCTCATTACTGTCTATCATTCATTTTTTAAAAATTTATCACTGACCTTTACAAACTGATACAGTTCCTTTACCTCGTTTTCTAGCCCTGGTTTCTGTGTTGTATGAACATTTTATTAGTGAGATTTTTCACTTGGTTTATTAGGTTTTTCGTCCTCAGTATTATCTCATTTTGGAGTTTGTCTAGCAATTCTTTCTCCGTCTATTTTCATGTCTTAGATTGATTTCTCTTTGTTTTTGTTCTCTTGAACTATATTCATGTCTTCATTCTTTCAATTCTATGACAATTTCAGTAGGTGCCAATATTATTGAATTTTTTTTGATATGTCTGGGTTTTTTCATTTTGTTTCTCTTTTAAGACTTGCACATTTGTTAGTTCAGTTTGTTTGATTCTAGTTGCCTCCTTGCATATTTACAGTGTTCAGGAGAGGACTAAGTTACAATGTGATGGAGATAACTGTCCTCCTCTGGGTGCCTGGTTCAGGGAAGTTTTATAGTGGAGTACTTGGGCTTCAGAAGAAGAAGGGGAGTAGGAGGCCCTGTGGGTTAGCTTCCTGAAACAAAATTCCTGGGAACTGTAGGTAGGCCTAGTGGAAAGGTAGTTGGCTCCAGGTCACGTGTAATATATATAGGCCTTAGCTGGGGAAGATGGGTACAAGAATGAATGCTCTTTGATGACTTGCTCTCTGTGATTTCCTCAGCCTGCATTCTTAGTGCACTCAGGACCAACAGCCCAGGGTGGAACTATCCACAATGGGTTAAGGTCTCCTACTTCAATCACTAAGGAAGTTACTACAGGCTTACCTACAGGCCAATATTATAGAGTCATTTTATCAATTGATACTTTTTCAAAATAGCTAAGGCTTGAGTTAAGTTGACATAAAACTAAGCAGCACAAGTAGCGTTTCTTAAGTAGAGTATGTGTGTGTGTGTAGATTGAAAGTTGTCATCCATATAAGTATGGTGTTAGAATTTATAATTCAGGAAATGATAGCTGAGGCAGAGGTTCAGTTAATAATATTCTACCAATAAATGTTTCGTTGTATATTTTTGGGAGAGTTATTGACTAAATTGTGCTATAGTTGCTGACACTTAACTGAAAATTTTTGTCAAATTTAGAAATTAAGGAATGACTTAACTATAATTAGAAGTGTTTCAATGTGTCTTGAAGAGATTTTTAATGTATAGTTCTTTCTTAATCATTAGCTCAGTAAGCTTCCTATTATTTATTAACTAGTAACTTAGTTAATTCTACATGAGTATTGCACAAGTAATCCATTAAAATGTTATCTAGCTAGCACCCCTAAGTACCCCCTACATAAGTATTTATACACGTATATCATGCAGTTGTATTTATATGCATTTAATGAGTGCCTAGTATATTTATGATACTTATTGGTGGTAAGAGATATATAGGTATAAAAAACACATAGCAAATTTATTAGAATTTGTGTCTTGAACCTTTACTTTATAGTTTGACTTGTATATAAGAGGTTTGATTTGGGATTTAGCCTAGTAATTAGTAGCCTCAACTCTGAAGCTGGATTACCTGATAACTGAATATCGTCTCAAACCACTTAAAAGCCAGCTTACTTTGAGCAGAGTACTTTACTCTTATTCTCAGTATTCTAAAATGGTGATAATAGTAATATATTACTCATATAGTTGTTAGGAGAATTAGTAATAGATCAGTGAGACTTCTTCTGTAATCTCTGGAATTACAGCTACACCTCTAGGAAGGACACTTAATTCATATTGAGAAGTATTGAATTTGGTGGTTCATTTAAATTTTTATCTGCATCAGGGCAAATTAGATTTCTAGCTTGTATGATAGGAGTGAATAAGATCTTGTATTTTGCATTGAAGTAGTTTATTTTGGAATTTGTATTTAGGAGAAGTTACAAGAGAGGAATAGATTCCCTAAATTCTCTAAAAGAAACAGAGAGGTTTATTATTATTATTATTAAGAGTTTTTCCTATTGTACAATAAGGAATGTGCATTGACATTTTGTAACTCAGAGAGATAGTATTTGTTTTGAAAATAAAGAATGAACTTGGGGAGAAGTAATGATAATTTAGTTACTGTTTTTATTAATATTCTGTCCCTTTCTGCTTGTATAGATTTATTTGTTAAAATATCACATATCCTGAAAGAGTAATAATAATAATTTAAGAAAAAAAGCTAACTGGTAATTTTCTTTTGACATTTGTAGTATTTCAAATCATTAAAGGTTTCCATACTAAGATGTAATATGGTTATTAATGGTAAACTGGAAAATACACCAGATGTCTAGAAACAGAAAGTCATCTTGACAGTTACATGTCTTTATAGTTCCCCAAGTCTTCTAATTTGATGTCCTGATGATTTATTCTGGACATGTGGCCTAGTGAAACTTGAAGATATTTCAAGAAACTGTCTTACCTATGAAAATAAAAGTTCTTAGAAATAGAAGATTCCGGCTGAGGATGTAGCTCAGTGGTATTGTGCTTGCCTACTATGCATATATGCCTTGCCTACTGTCATTTATGCCCGGAGTTCAAGTTCCTTCACTGGGTGAATTTAAAAAGAAGAAGAAAAAAACTTAAGATCCTGAAATGTTGCTACATTTAACATCACAAGGTTGGCTACATGGTCTCACAGATGAGATGTGTTTTCTCCTCCCGTTTAGTATTGAATTTGACCGGGATTGTGACTATTTTGCAATTGCTGGGGTTACAAAGAAAATTAAAGTCTATGAATATGGTACAGTCATCCAAGATGCAGTGGATATTCATTACCCTGAGAATGAAATGACCTGCAATTCCAAAATCAGGTATTTATGTTTTCTGTTACCACAAAGTAGTATGTATATAACTGCTATTCATATTAGTGATAAGTATGAAATATTTTCCCTTTATCATGAGACTGCTTACTCATTCAGTGCATTCTGTGATTGTATATATAGAGATGCTTTTTTTTTTAAAGCAAAATAATATCTTTCCAGTTGATGTTTGCTTTCTTTTTGTGGGAATTATCATTTACTTTTACCTATGAACAGTATCTGAACATCACAAATAATCCCCATAATATGTACATATCTCTCTAAATACTATAGTTGTTTCTAATTTAAGTTTTTTCACACAACTATTTTGCTTTTCTTTGAAAGAATAGTATTTTAATTTATTAAAGATTGTAATTCATAGTGTTTCACTGACATGTTTCCTAGAAATGTCAGAAATTCTGGAACCAGCTTTTTCCTTTCTTGCTTTTTCCTTTTTTCTTTTTTTTCTTTTTTTTCCTTTCTCTTTCTTACTCTCGTAGAAGAAATAGATTTCCCTAGCAGTTCTTAAGAGCACCTGATTGATGGTGTAGACTCAAAAAGAAATCCATGTACCTTTCTTACATTGATGAGTACATACACACTGTTTTTAAGTATCCTTTATCTGAAATGTTGGGACCAGAATGTTTCTGATTTAGTTTTTCATCCATGTACATTGTGAGACATCTTGGAGATAAGATGTGTATCTAAACACAGACTTCACTTACCCTGGATGTGTGTCTTCATATACGTTGGTATGAAACTGGGTGTGTGTATATTTAGGCAGTAGATTTGGTGCTCTAAATGTTTTGGGTTCTGGGTCATTTTAGGTTAAAGATGTTGAATCCAATGTATATGTGTTTATATGTGATTTTAATGATGTTAGTAATAAACTAGTATTATGTTCTTTTTGTTTTCTAATTATCCACAATAGTTTGTGAACCTGCCCATTTATCAGTGGCACCCATAATTGAGAATCTATTATACTCTGTCTTCTAAGTAAAGAATATATTGCAAAAATGAATTTATTAAATGCTCGTGTGCTAGGCATTGCCTTGTGTGCTTTAACAGTTGTCTGAGATGGTTACCATTATTGCCCCATTTATACCTGAAGGATGCTAAGACCAAAGGTAAATAGCTTTCCTGGAATGATCTAGCGAATATGTAGTGAAGTGAAGATCAAGGGAATATTAATTTTAGAGTCTGTGCTTTTAACCCCTTTATATTTACTTATAACATGTGGCCATTATAGTAATATCACTTGTATAAAATTGTACTTTAAGCTGGGCATTGGTGGCGCATGCCTTTAGTCCCATTACTCAGGAGGCAGAGACAGGCGGATCTCTGTGAATTCGAGGTCAGCCTGGTCTACAGAGTGAGTTCCAGGACAGCCTCGAAAACAATACAGAGAAACCCTGTCTGGAAAAAGAAAAAGGAAAAAAAAAAGTACTTTAAAACGTCACAGTAATAAACTCAGCAGAATACTTGGCTCATGAGAAGTATTCATAGTCATTGTTCCCTTGAGGAAAACATAGAGTTTAAGTGTGCTACTACCTCCTCTGTCATGGCATAGTACAGTAAATAGCTGAAATTGCTCAAGGCCAAAACCTAAGGATCTGAAAGGATCAGTACATAAGTACAAATAACAGAGTTGTCCAATTTGTTTTTACCAGTTATGAAATACACTAAGTTAACCAGAACTGCAGCTATTAAATGGCAGATCTGGAATTGGAGAAAAGTTCTGTCTGAATCTATAATGGCAACAGTATATTTTAAAATACAAATGATCTCCTCCCAACCCCTAAAATTTGCAATAAATACAATAGAGAACAAAATACATTCTTAGATGTTACCTGCTTTTCTTAGTACCTTGTTCACTAATGTACACATTTTATTGTCCAGTTTAAACATGTGTATGTCTCAACAATAGCTTACTACTCTAGATGCAAACTTTTAGAAAATAGCTAAAATGATTAATGTTAAAACTTTGAATCTATTGGGTGATTTTAATTGGAATTTCAATCATAAGTTTTATTGCTTAAGACCTTTTGAATGTAAATACAGAAATTCAATTCAAACTCATTTATTAGCTTAATATGGTTTGGCTCAAAAATCTGTCTTACGAGCCGGGCGTTGGTGGCACACGCCTTTAATCACAGCACTCGGGAGGCAGAGGCAGGCGGATCTCTGTGAGTTCGAGGCCAGCCTGGTCTACAGAGCGAGTTCCAGGACAGCCTACAAAGCCACAGAGAAACCCTGTCTCGAAAAACCAATAAAAAAAAAAAATCTGTCTTACCTGTCATTCTGCTGTAGCATTCTCAGAGCCACTTGGGCATTTATCATTGTCATTTATTGCTGTGCTTGTCACATGTAGCAAAGATGATCAGTAACAGCTCTTGGCTCATATCTATCATACACTTTATGATTAGAGTAAAAAGTGGGAAATTTCAGCATTGGATAGTTTACTGTCAATTAAAAAATGTAGTATTACTAACATCTCTTTCTGAATGATAGTGAAGTGATGCAAACCATTTCAAAGAGTATTCATCTTCCTGAACACACAAGAATTCATTATGCTCCATTGTTACTTATTTACATCTTAAAATTTTAGCTTTTTCTTTCGTTCAGCTGTATCAGTTGGAGTAGTTACCATAAGAATCTGCTAGCCAGCAGTGATTATGAAGGCACTGTTATACTATGGGATGGATTCACAGGACAAAGGTCAAAGGTCTATCAGGTAAATATGGAAACTGACTGTATGTTAAAACAATTTTTTTGTTTTTATAACAAAAATATTCATGTGCTTTATAATTTAAAAACTTCAATCATTATTTAGTATTTTCCTAATTACATAATAACTGTGGTAATACCAAATAAGAGATACCTCCTACTTTATTTTTAGAAAGTATCAAATACATTTACTGAAGCATTAATTTTAGTAAGTGTGAGGCTTTCCACCAATGTCTTTGCTTTTCATTTGATTTCAGTCTGTGCCACTACCCCATATCAATAAATTATTTTTTTTCTCTTCTATATCAAGGAACATGAAAAGAGGTGCTGGAGTGTTGACTTTAATTTGATGGATCCTAAACTTTTGGCTTCAGGTTCTGATGATGCAAAAGGTACTATTCCTATTTCCCCTCATAAGTCCCCACTCCCCAAAACTCCTTTTGTGCACAGCTATGCAAATTATTTATTGAAACTCATGCCCAGTTCTTTGTGAATTGAAAATAATTTGAGTGAGAAATCAGTTTTTCCTTCTGAGTGAAGGAAAAATGATTGCTGTATATCTTCATAATAATGTTTTTGGTTTTGTGCCACACAAATACATGTGAATTGCTGGCAACTTCCTAAATATACTTATTTTCTTTATGTATTTGTAGGTGCTTGGATCAAAACTTTACTTTTCATGATTACATAGCAAGTGCTGTTAACCACTGAGTCATGTGTCCAACCCCTACTCTCATCTTTTAACTAAGTTTTTTACATATATCATCTAGTAAACTTCATTCCTTGAAGCATTTAGAAATTTCTACATTCAAATTTATATTAAATGTTCAATATATTCTGAAGTCATGTGGTGTTGTAATATTTCCAAGCAAGTTTGTATATATCTCTTTTGCTAGCTTGATTGGCCTTTTCTGCTTTTCTTTGTCTGTCTTTATTATTTTTTCCTTTCTGCTATAGAGATGTGAACAGTTTAGCTTACTTTTAAATCAAGTATACCAAGGCTTTTTGGATGTGTTTTTGTGACCTCTGATAATAAATGCCAGTAAACTTAGCTTTGTACACAAATTTAAAGGGGTCCATGTCCCAAAACATGAAAATTGTTAACTGATTCGATAGTGGCTATATTGAAAGATGATAGTATGTATTCTTTTAACAGAATTATTTGTGAAACATAAGGTTAGAAAATAAATGTATTCCAGTTTCTGAATTACACTTTTTACGCTACATTATTTTAATGTTTGTGTAACAAAATAAGCAAAGGAATATATTCTGACATTCAGTTTTCATCCTAAATAGTTTTTATGTTATAATTGAACAAATCTCTGTATGTCTGTGATACTTCTCAGTTGGAAAATTGGTAACCTCTTATGGTGTCCACACAAGTCTGTCTACACTTTATTCCCAACTCCAGAAGGCCTGATTTCCTCTTCAAGCCTCCACAGGCATCTGCACACACATGATGTATACATACAAACACAGTCGTATAAGTGAAAATAATATAAATCTTTAAAAAATGAATTATAGCCTTAATTTTCTTTCCTTTTTTTTCATTTCTTTCTTTGTAGCTTCCAGATTATTGGCTAAATAATAGTAACCCTAGCATTGAAATCTTTATTTCATATATTATGCTTTTTCTTCTGTCTTTTTATATATAAAGACCCCCTTGTGGACAATGTTACTGTCTATATTAGTATATGACAAACATATATTCATTTAATTTCTTCTAGTTGTCCTCAGAAGTGAAATTGCTCTATCATATGGTAATCTGTGGTTACTTTTTTTTGTGAACACTCACCATGTTATCTTTACCATTTAAGATTCAATATATAATGGTTAAGTGTTACGATTTCTCCACATCCTTGTCAACACTTGTATTTCCTTAGCCTTTTAGTCTTGATTTGCCTGTCTACCTGCCCAACTGACTACATCCCTCTCCATATTCTTTTATTTCCCACACTCTTTGTTTTTCCCTTCTTTCAATCACTCACTCCCTTCTTTGCTTACCTGCCTGCCTTCGTGCCTTTTTGCCTTTGGTTTTTGTTTTGTTTTAAAAGGTATAGATAATTGAGATCTGTAAGTGGGTATAAGGGACTAATTTTCTATAGTTTTAGTTTCTCTACTGTTCAGTAATGTTAAACATCTTTTTTATATGTGTGTGTTACCTGTTGAGCTATTTGTTGAAGTATATGTCTAAAATCACACCCCCCCCAGTCAAAATTGTCATTTTTCTTTCTGTTTTTTCTTGAAATGGGAGTTATCTTTATGTTCTGGGTAACCAGGTGTGCGGTTTGTACTCCACCTTTGGGTTGCCTTTTTACAGTGTTGATAGAATTTGGTACATTGAGCTGGGCATTGGTGGCACAAGCCTGTAGCCTGTAGCCCCAGCACTCGGGAGGCAGTCCTGGTCTACAGAGCAAGTTCTAGGATAGCCTCCAAAACAATATAAAGAAATCCTGTTTTAGGAAAAAAAAAAAAAAAGAATTTGGTACATTGTTTTTGTTATTGTTACAAAGTCTAGTTTGTTTAATTTTTTCTTTACTTGTATATGCCTTTAGCATATTAGAGAAATCACTACCAAATTAATTGCTGTGACACTTTCTTCCTTTATTTTCTTCCATGAGTTTTCTAGTCTATTTAAAAATTATGTCTTTGATCCATTTTAATTTGCACACGGTTTAAAAGTACAGCTTTGTTTTTACACACAAATATCCTGAATTTCTAATGTCTCTTACTGAAAAGATTATTCTTTCCTCCTTGTACTGTCTTGGAAAACTTAATGAAAACAAGTACACTATACATTCATGCGCTTAGCCTTTGTCTTTTTATAGTATGCCATTGGTTTTTATGTATATTTTTATTTCTGTACTACATTGTTTTAGTGATCATAGTGGTATTTTGAAATCAAAAAATATGAATCTTCCATCTTTGATCCTTTTCAAGATCATTTTGACTGTTTGAGGTCCATTGACAGTCTGTTTACATTTTATTTTATTTCTTCAAAACACTTCATTGGTGTTCATAGGGAAGCTGTTCAGACTTCTTTGAGGTTTGTTTGTTACTATTTTTATATTCCTTTGTAATTATTTTCATCATATTTTAGTTCATGTCTCTGACTTGAGACCTTCTCTTCTAATCTTTGTTTTCTTCATATACTTTCTTACAAATACTGTGGTAGCTCATCCTAAAATTTCATCTATTGACATTTGATGTTAGTTTCAAAGTTTATGTGTTTTTGTTTTGTGTGTCAACATTTCACAGCACTCCTCCCCATCTTTTGGGACTTATGTTCTTTCCTCTTCCAGGGTGTTCCCTAAGCCTTGGTTGTAGTGTTTACGTTGGGAGTGAGGGTAATATAAATGTCCCACTTACTGCTGAGTCCTGAGTCTCTTATTCTCAGTGTCTGACCAGTTATGTACCTCTCCCTTGACTACTTTCCAATGTAAAGAAGTTGCTTCTTTGACAGAAATTGACAGCAGCCCAGATCTATTTATATTGGGGGTTCTCAAGTGTTTTAGGAGATGATTTTATCTTAACATATCTCATTCATATGGAAATGTGCAATTTTATCAAAATGTGTGTTCTTACTTTCACTATAGAATATTGAAATTAATTCACATATAATGGACCCACCATCTAGCTCCAGAATGCTTGTTTTGTTACCTATATTTGTGAAATCACTGTTCATATCTATTGATTTTTAACATTCAAAGTAAGCTCTCAGATTTAAGAATTGTTCTGTTGCATGATTATTCAGCTTAAATTTTTTAAATAAAATGTTTCATGTTAAAACAGAGCTTATAACACTTGTCAAGTTACAGAAACATTTGCTCAGTATATTGTTTCTTTTTATTTTCATTCTCATTACCTTAGTGAAGCTGTGGTCTACCAATTTAGACAATTCCGTGGCAAGCATCGAAGCGAAGGCTAATGTGTGCTGTGTGAAATTCAGCCCCTCCTCCAGATACCATTTGGCTTTTGGCTGTGCAGGTAAGAAATAAAAGTAAATTCATCTTCTTTCAGTTTTTATTCTTGTGCCTAGAAGTACATTTGAAAATGAATTGTAATTACCTTTGTAATCTTAAATTTTCTTTTTTACTGTTAGGTTTTGTGAGCAGTATATCATAACTACTCATTGATATACCTAATTGTGTTATTCTGTCATCCATCTTTAATAATAGAGATGGGCATGTGGACTTTTGTTGACTGCTAAATGTTTATGTATATTTTCCTTAGAGTGTAGCAGAATAGTGATTAATAAACAACTGTACCGTAGAGTATCAGGAAGTTTTTAAGAAGCCTATTAATTCCTCTGACTTTATTAAATTCTTGCATAAAGCATTCACCTAAGGGGAATGAACATGCCAATCACTTATCATGAAGTACATGAGATGTAGTCTTCCTTCCTTCCTTCTTTCCTTCCTTCCTTCCTTCCTTCCTTCCTTCCTTCCTTCCTTCCTTCCTTCCTTCCTTCCTTTTTTAAGGTAGATACTCTGGTCATAGCAACAAATCATTTGAAGTATTTTGTAGTCCTATTTTACCTTGTACTGTCACATTACTAGTAGTAGCTGTTTTCAATTTGAGAGGACCATGAATTGCAGAATAAGTCATATGCTCATCCTACCTTTTTTCTCTCTTGATTGCTTACTTAAAAACTAAATACCTATAATTTAACATGTGAAAATTCCTTCATATTTTTCCTAATTTTTTAAAAAGATAAGCTGGAACAATGTAATGAGAACAATAACATTTAAGAAAAGATAACATGTTTTAAAACTTGTCATTACTAGTGATATTTGTTTCTATAAATCTCTCACTTCCCTGCTTATTTACTCTTTTTTCCACTAGCCAGAAATGTTATCTTGAGCAAGTTGACTAACTTGTCTCCCAAGATATCTTTAGCCATTGGCTGTTACTTATCAATAGATTCTCTTATTGATGCTTAATGTGTACATGATAGATATACACATCTTCCAAGATTTTTTCTCTGGTATAAATTCTCATTGTTTTTCTTGCCTAATTTTTTTGTTTACTTTTCCATGTAAGCTTTAATGTTCATATTTTTCCAGCAAAATTATTATAAAAATAATTAACAATAATTATAATTACAAATATTTGATAGTTTTGAGAGAATTGTTATTGACACTGTATATTTCCCCATACAATTCTGTGCAATGTTTGATTTGGATTGACTTTTTTAAGTGAAATTTTATAGTTTGTATCCTGTAGGGTCTGGAATTTTTCTGGTCAGCTTTCTTTTCTATGTATAATATTGTGATTTTAAGTAAAATAGTAGTTCTGTTCTCTATTGTATTACTTTTTAGAAATATGGACAGAAACTGATGCTATATATGCCTTGCCAATAGACATGATAATTATTTTTCTTTGTAAATATAGTAACTCTTTTTGTAGTTTTTCAGTTTACATCAGCCAAAAATGTTAGGTACACTTCTTTTGCAGTGATTCATTGCAGTCTCTACCTCAGTACAAAACCAAGGACAGTGCTGTGATTACTAGTGACTATGGGCCCTGTCCATTTCTTTTAGTTGAGTGGACTGTAGTTGTTTTGGTACTTAGAACATCTATTTTTATATACTAGTCTATTGAAATCAAATATTTTAATTTTACTACTGTTTTTTAATACACATCCAATATTTTATTCAGTGCCTTTCAGAATCATTTCACTAAGATCTGTTAGCATCGCGAGTTATGCTTATTCATTTTCTCATTCAGAATTATTTGTCTTTCTTCAATAACCTTGGCTTGAGCTTAATAGATAGAATTTTTCCAATGAAAGAATTATTCCTAGTATTGCAGTCATATCCTCTAACTGTATTTCTTTAATATTGTTCCTCTCCTTTTGACTATTTAGTCATGCTTACTATCTTCTTAATGTTTTATATTTTTAAATGTAAGTCATTTTTCTTTAGTTCTCCTGTGACTATAACTATTTTATGTTTGGGTGTTTGTACTGTTAGTATATAGAAATACAGATAAATTTCATAAATAAATTTTACGTTTGTTCCTTCTAATTTCCACAATTGTAGTTTTATTATATATTCCTTGGGATAATCTTTGTATAGGATTGTATTTTATTCAAACTAAAACAAATTGTGAATTACTTTTTTGCATTGTTTAATTTGCTAGAAGATACAGTATAGTGTTGAATAGACTCATACTGAAAAATAGAAAAAAATTATCATTTACAATATTGTCAGTATCATTCATTTACAGTTTGGTATAATGCTTACTATTGAAAGCAAAAACTTTGATGCTGACAAAAATACGTCCAGAACAAGTAAAACTTAACAGTTCTTAGTGTCAACAAGTACATGAGACCAAGAAATCAGTAGAATCACCATAAAAATAAGTACTTAAAACTTAGGAAAAGTATGTTATCCCATAATTAGATACTTAGTCAAAATACTTTTTATAAATGAAATAACCAAAAAACAACAACAACAACAAAAAAAAAAACATTAAAAGGAAAAAGACAGTGTGAATCTCTGAAGCCCACTAATAGTTACCATGGTCCTGGCACACATATTGAGTTTGTTTGCCCCAAATACCAAGTTCCAATATAGTTGCAGTTTTGTGGCATTTTTATAAACATATAACAACAGAAAAAATCATATATTAAGGTCTTTTTCAACTACATTGGTGAAAACATCAGTCCAGGAGAGTTACAATCAAATGGGTTAATAGCTGCTATTGGATTCAGATACTGTCTGATGACATTTTGATCTTTAGTATTGGTGGGATGTAGTGGTCTGTTAATACATCCCAGGGTATTTTATTTGGTAGTTTAGGTTTGTTTGGTCAGACACAAGTGAGCATGGATTGGCTATTAAGGGGGCTAAAAATAACCTGTGAAAATTTGTCTCTGGATTTACAACATCCAAACTCTGCTTTTGTTCAGGGCTCATTACCACCGCAACACTAATAATGTAATGGAAATGTATGCTATATTAATGAATAGTGATACTTACTGTACCAGAGAAATTGATTCCCTGCACCCACTTGGTGGCTTACAACTATTTGTAACTCCAGTTCTAGGTATCCTGACACCTCCACACAAACGTACATCCAGGCAAAACACCAATGCACAACAAAGTAAAAATAAAAATATATATAAAGAACTAGTTACCTGCACTTGCTGTAGGGTCATATTTTGATTACATATAACCCCCATTCTTCTTTTTAGACAGAACCTAGTATTCTAGACTAGACGTATTGCTGTATAGCTGAAAATTCAAATAATTTCTTGCCCTTCTTATCCAACTGATGTGGTCATCTAGGAGCTGAACCTCTGGGCATGCCTGTGTAAGATTGCCTATTGCATTAATGGAAGTGAGAAGACCCATCTTGACTATGGGAAAAACTACTCCCTAGACAGGATCCTGGGTTGTGTGAATATACCTGGAGAAAGTGCACACTAGCATGTTTGTTGTTGACTCTTTGCTTCTTGGATATGAATGCAATTTGAGCAGCTCCCTCTAGTTCCTGCCTCTGTGACTTGCCCATCATTTTGGTGGGATCTGGGTACACTATGAATAAGGCTTCCCTGAGTATTCTGTATATAGATGTATTCTCTTGTACTGATCCTACTGGTGCCTGCTGTTGGTTTTTTATTTATGGCATTTATTATGTTGAATTGTGTTTATTTTTATCTTAAAGACCTGTTGAATTTTATCAATATTTTATCTACAACCAAGGTTTTTGTACTTCACTTTATTGATAGAGTTTCCGGGTGATGATGACTAATGATAGTGAATAACGTTCTTAATGTGCTTTTAAATTTGCTTGATCTGAGGTTTTGGTTCTTTGTTGTCTTGTCTGATTTTTGTGAGAATAATGCTAATCTTATGGAATTAGTTTGGAAGAGTTGCTTCTTTAAAATTTTGAAACTAATATCCTTTAAATGTTGAATTGAATTCAGCAGTGAAGCTGAACTTTTATAGGAGACCTTATTTCTGATTTTTTTTTGTTATTTGTAAATGGAATAATAAAAACCCAGAGTCAAATATAGAGAAAAATGCTGAGAGATCAGAGAGAATGAGGAGGAAGCCAAAGCCACCTTTACTTCATTAGCCTCCCAGTGGAAAAGAGAGCAAGATCCTATTTCTTCCTGCTTATATCCTGTCCCTGCTTAGCCATGCCACTCCCTGTCTGTCTGTACAGACCTTCTGACCTCTATGGTTAGCTAGTGGCAAGCTCTATCCTCTGATCTTCAGACAAGCTTTATTTGTACAGCAAGATATCACCACAATCTGTTAGTTTTCTACTCATAATTCAGTCTTGGTAATATTCATGTGTCCAGAAATTTGTACATTGCATCTAGGTCATTAAAATTATTGGTCTGTGGGCATCTACTCTTGTGATGTTGCTGATATTTCATTTTCTCCTTTCTATTTTGAGTCTTCTCTTTTTTTCTTAGTTTAACTAGTTATTGATTTTTCTATAGCTTTTTTGAAAAGTGACCTACTTGTTTCATGTATTACACACACACACACACATTGCTATTTCTCCCATTTGTTTGTGTTCTGATCTCTTATTGTTTCTTCTAATTGCAAAAATTGACTTAATTTGTTCTTCTAATTTTTTGAAGTGTAGTGATAAGTTGTTTTCTGAGACCTTTCTGCCTTTTTTTGTTTACTTATTTAGTTTGTATACACGTGTGTATCTGTAATGTGGGATACACAAGTAGAAGTCAGAGGACTGCTTGCCCCAATCAATTCTCTCCACCTCCTGAATTTTAGAGTCCAAAGCCATGTTGTCAGGTTTGGTGGCAAGTTACTTTACCCAAACTGAGCTATCTTGCCAGTCCCCATTTTGGGGGTTTCTGTTGTTGTTGCTTGTTTGTTTGTCTTTTTGTTTTATTTTATTTTTACTTCTGTAACTTTGTGAATATATGTTGTATATATGTGAGTTCACTGAGGCCAGAAGAGAGCATCAGATCTCTTGGAGCTGGGGTTACCGGTGGCCGTGAACCATGTGATGTGGGTACTGAGAAACAAACTCAGGTCCTCTGGAAGAGCAGCACTCATTGGTTCTGCTTTTTTGAAGTGTGCATTTATTGCCATAAATTCCCTTTCTACTATTTCTACTGTATTCTGTCAGTATAGGCATATTGTATTTTTATTTTTAATTATTTTGAGAAATTTAAATTTTTCTTTGAATTTCTTTACTACATTGGTTGTTCAAAGTTCTTAACTAGCTGTAATTATATATAATGTCTAAATTTTTGTTACTGATTTCTTGTTTTATTCAACTCTCAGTTGAAAACCATAATGGATATTTCAATATTTTAAAATACACTAAAACTTTTTTCTTCCCATGTTCAACCATATTATCTTAGAGAATTCTCCATGTGTTATCGAAAAGAGCCCATGGAGGGTTCCATTTAGTCCAGAGTATTATTAATTATGGATTTTCTGTCTATTACTGAAAGTCAGCATTAAACTCCTCTATTACTGTATTGAAATCTCTCCTCAAGCCTACTGTTTTCCTTATTTGTTTGTGTGTTCTGATAGTGGGTGCATTCAAGCTAAGAGTCATTTCCTCTTCCTCTGATTTGGCCCATTTATATAGTGAGCCACCTGTCCTTTTTAATGCTTTGAGTCTCTTATGTAAATGTGGTTATTACTTTTTTTTTGAAAATTCCATTTGCATGGGATATCTTGCTATTTTTTTTTTCTGCTTTAAACTGTGCTTAACTTTTGAGTTGTAGAAAGCCTCAGGTAAGTAGAATGTAGTTATATCATTATTGTTTTGGTTGGTTCTGTCCATTAATTACCTGCATACAGCCAAGATCATCTGAGTATCCATATCTATTAACTATTTTCTCTCTTTGACAGTTCCATGAATGTTGTTGGTGCATATTCACACCCAGTAATGTCTGTACATAAAAGAATTGAGCATTTATGATCTGGCATTGTGGGTATCCTCCCAGATATTTTAAATAAGCTATTATTTTTCTAAGTACATTCAGTGCTGCTATTTCACTACTAGAAAGAGTCCCCCAAAACAGAGATTTTTCTCTTTCCCTCACCTGTATATGTGCTATTGAAGACAACAGCAAAGGTTCGTTGCAGTTTGTTCTCACCCTACAGCCTCTGTGAAGAAACCAATCTTTTCATAGACAAACTAGACCTTATGTTCTTAGGCAATGAGTTGGCAACTACTTTAATCCCAAATTATAATGACTCTGTTCATGTTCTGTTGGGCACTGGATTCAGGATGACACTCGGTATAGAGACATCCTCAAAATCCACAATCTGCTAAGACCAGCACAGCACAGACTGGACAGAGGACCCTGGTGTTGTGCCTATCTGCTGCTCTGATATACTTAGAACCTCAGGTAGCTAAGTGAAACACAGATGTTGGTCAGAATAAGAATACAGATTAGTTTTTCTGTGGTCACAGGTCCCTTCCTGCCTAGTACCAAGGTGAGTTCAGATGTTGATTGTTTTTGTTTTTGTTTTGTTTTGCTTTAAGGCAAAATGCTTGTCTCAGTGGCCTAGCAATGTTGTGTGGTTTCCCCTAGCCCCAAGGGATGGAGCGTTGCACTATCCACACTCAGGGAAGAGGTGGTAAAGGCAGCTTGTTGGTAGCAGGCCAGCTTCACCCAAAGTTTTGGTGCATGAACACTGGAGTGGGGAATCAACCTTAAGCTTAGGGCTCTGTCACACTGGATTGAATCTTTGTGTTCTGATACTAGGCTCTAAATTTAAGGCCTAAAGCTAGTTTCTTTTTTTTCCCCCCATTAGCTAGTGGCTTCTTTTATGCTATGTTACTTGGAGTTAGGGAGAGGTTTGTGCACAGCTCTTTTCTTTTTGTTGTTGTCCTTTGTATTTTATAGTCTAATTCTGTTAGGCTTAAACAAGATGCTGAGATCTCTCTCCTGGATACTTTACCTCTTGTGAGGGTAGTTTTCATAAACAGACCTTGAGAATAATGTTAGTATGTTAGATGATCGCTCTTACTCAGCCACCACTTTGCTGTGATGGAAACACCAAATCCAGTTCAGTTTTTTGCCTCCCTTTTCTTCATTTACTACAGTTATCTCTTTGTTTTATTTTAGATCACTGTGTTCACTACTACGATCTCCGTAACACTAAGCAGCCAATAATGGTATTCAAGGGACACAGAAAAGCAGTCTCTTATGCCAAGTTTGTTAGTGGTGATGAAATTGTCTCTGCGTGAGTATTACTCCCCTTGGAGGGTGAGCTTAGTAGAAGTCTCATCGTTGATGTTGTAGGCATATGCAAAGAATGACCTTGATTCATATTTTCTTTCTGAAATAGCAGATTTCCATATCTTCCATTAAAATGCATGAATCTTACCTTCATTGTTCATTTTACTTGTGAATAAATGTATTACTTTCTGATAGGCCCTCTTAAAAGTGATATTTTTAAAGTCAACCATTATGTTGTTGGGTCAGCTTTCAACATAGTAGTAGAATTATTTTTTATTTTAAGTAATTGGTTGATTTTTTTATACTACCCTATATCAGTTTCACAGTAAAATCTGTTTTAAAGATAACTATTTAAGTGTGTCTGTTTATAACAAGCAAATGTCCTTTGTAAAATCTTTTAGTTACTTTTTTGAAGGTAATAAAATCTCAGTCAAATAAAGTAAACTCCATTGTGAAAGTACAGAACTTCTAATAACATGCATACTTCCATATTTTGGTTCTTCATCTCATAGTTCTTTAACTATCTAGCAAATGTCCATTCTTTTTTTTTACAAGACAGGGTTTCTCTGTATTGTTTTGGAGGCTGTCGGACCAGCCCGGCCTCGAACTCACAGAGATCCGCCTGCCTCTGCCTCCCGTGTGCTGGGATTAAAGGCGTGCACCACCACCGCCCGGCCACAAATATCCATTCTTAATTTCTATGCACATGCATGCATGTGTGTCTTCCCAAACTTAATGATTTCTTGCTTTTTTCTTTTTTTGCTTAGTTGTTTGTCTCTCTCAGAAGAATGCATATGCCAGTGCCTTGAATTTTGTATCTCACCTTCACACTGGTGGTTCTAAATAAGAATTTAGTGATTTGGCAAGATGATTTTAGTTCACTTGCAAAAGAGGACAAAAAATATTCATAACTGAGCTTTCCAAGGGAGTTATTTGGGAAATGAATTCACAAGCTTAATTTAAGTGGTAACTAAAGAGTATTCCATATTTAGGATAACTATAATAGGCAGAAATGACTTAAATGACATATATTTTAAACTGAAACATAAAAGGACAGTCATTGCAATACTGTGGAATAAAATAGATTAAAGCACATTTCTGAAAGAGCTCAAATCCAACAGTTTGGATCTTGGCTATATACAGTTGTAACCTGTAACCTGTAATTTTCTCTTTACCAAATGGAGCTAATAGCAACACTAAGCTTTTAAATCTTTAAATAAAATAATATATGGAAAATCTGTATCACAGTGTCCTGCTCATTAAGTATAAATATAGACACAGTTCCTTAACAAAAAACATAAAGAAAGCAGTTCAGTACAGGAAAGCAGCTTGCAAAATTGTATCTGTCTTAAAATTGTCTATTAAAAATTACCAGTGGGTTTTATTAAAAAAAAAGTTTTGGGTAAGAAATGAGATCCATATATTCTTTCAGCAAAATAAACTATGTTGTGTACTGTCCCATGTAGGGATGGCATGAAAATAGTTTGTATCTAGTATGCCAATAACAAGAAGAATGAGTGTCTTCTCAAAATGAAAAATATATCTCAGTGCAAAAAGTCTTATTTATTGATGATGCGACAGTGCTATTGATGCTATTAATGCTTATACTTCCTATATCCCCAAGCATTATTGAAAGCGTGTTAAATGAATTTGGTTTTCCATTTAATTCTATACAGTAGATTATCATGTATCATATTTAACTGTTGAAACACTGAAGCCAGTGGGAATACACAGGCACCAAAGTCTGCATTCTTAACCACAATTACTTTTGGCGATGAGTTTCATACCAAGAAATCTAAAATTTACTCCTCTTTGTGTTTATCTCAGCTCAACAGACAGCCAACTAAAACTGTGGAATGTGGGGAAACCATATTGTTTGCGTTCCTTCAAAGGTCATATTAATGAAAAAAACTTCGTAGGACTTGCTTCCAATGGAGATTATATAGCTTGTGGTAAGTGAAATTATATCTTTAAAAAAAAACTTTGCAAAGACATGTCACGGTAGTTTTCAGTAGAAAACTGATTTGTGCTCTTGGAAGGTAGCATCACTTGATGCTTTGGACTGAATTCTTTCCTTCCTTCATGCTGGAGAGCATTAGTTTTTCTTTTCTGCATACAAGCCCTGTATTCATAGTAATTTTTAACTGCTTTCTAGCAATTGTAAACATACCATAATTTCCGTAGGTATAATATAGACTATAGAAACTATTAATTTCTCCTACTAGTATTTCAGAAGACATCTTTTCAGAAGCCTGATATTCATTTCACCCTGCCTAGTATCCTTTTCATTAAGCAATTTGTTTGGGTTGGATGATATTATATGAAAATTTAAATCAGAAGTGGAAAAATTCAATTTACTATTATTGAAATGTTCTAATACTGTTAACAAACTTTTGTTAACACTTTTAAATTGTGTTTCTTCCTAATGTATGAGTTTGAATACCACCAAAGTAGATAAGCTGCTCCTGAAATGTGTCGGTTTGACTTCTCAGAGAATTGAGTTGTTTAGGCTGTTCAAATTGGCTTTTTTTAAATACCATAACTTTTATTTTCCTTTCTATATCTTTTCAAAACGCACTTTAAGACTCTTGTTTATAACAGCTTTTTGAATGTACAGACCTCTGCCGAGTATTTTTTAATTTAAAACATTTTAGGCCGAGTGGTGGTGGTGCACGCCCTTAATCCCAGGACTTGGGAGGCAGAGGCAGGTGGATCTCTGTGAATTCGAGGCCAGGCTGGACCGACAGCCTCCAATACAGAGAAACCCCTGTCTCGTAAAACCACACACACAAAAAAAAAAAAACACTTTGGTTTTAGGAATATAAACACATATCATTTAGCAATAGTTTTTGTTCAAGAATCCCTTCTCACATAGTTCCCACTTAATTGGTCTTGTCATCTTGTCTTTCAGATTTGAATATAAAAGGTAATTGGTCTCTTTGCTAAAACTTGGATTAATAGTTACTATCTAAATGTTGTGTTCCAGAACTAGAGCTAGAAATGTAGTTCACGATAGCCAAAGGCCTTAGATTCAATTTGTAGGGCTTATAGAAAGAAAGGTAATCTAGCTGGCTGAAGTATCATATACTTATGATCCCAGCATTTGAGAGGCAGAGGAAGGCAGTTGTGAGTTTAAGGACTGCCCCCGAGTGAGTGAGTGAGTGTTGAGTGTGTGTGTGTGTTTATGTGTGTGTGTATGTATGTATTCTAATTTCAGGTTCTCCCATTCTAAAAAGTGCATTTATTTTTTCTTTTCAGGAAGTGAGAACAACTCCCTCTACCTGTACTATAAAGGACTTTCTAAGACTTTGCTGACTTTTAAGTTTGATACAGTCAAGAGCGTTCTGGACAAAGACCGGAAAGAAGATGATACAAATGAATTTGTCAGTGCTGTGTGTTGGCGAGCACTATCAGACGGGGTAAGTTTTCATGTATATTTTTAACCATGGCACTTCATACTGTTAATGAATACATAGCATTGATTGTTTTGTTGTTTTTATTTTAGATTTTAAGGTATAGTTAGGTAAAATAGGTGTTTTGTCCTTTTTTTTTTTTTTTTTTTTTTTTTTTGGTCTGGCATATTATCAACAGAGAAAATGGGTGTTTTAGATACTAATTGAAACATTACCAGTAAAGCAATCTCTTGGTGATGAATCTCTCATATACCTAGGTCACATGTACAGACTTCAGTTATCTCTTTTATAAAGACTAGAAATTCCTCCAGAGTACCATCTGTCTTATTCTTCTTAGTGATCACATTGAGTATCTGTTCAAAAAAAGGCCTCAACTGATGTATTCCTAATTAAATACTATTTCAGGGTAGAATTACTCTATAGAATTTATTTACAAGAACGTTCCACTGTTGGGTTATAAAGAAAATCATACCCTCAAATTTTTCACTTCCTTATACATTTTAGAATAAAGGCTTTTCCATGAATTACATGTGGAAAAAATTATTTTTACTATGTGGGTTTATGCCTAAGCAGTTGTTAGTGTCTTTTTTTTTAAGTTTTTTAGGTGCTTGATTAGGGAGGAGGAGTATTTTGTTGTTTTAGGTTGTGTTTAGGGTCTGTAAAGTGGGCTTTTATACATGTTAAAAATGAATTCTTTCACTAACTTATAGCCCCTAATTTTATTTTCAACACAGAAAATTCTAGCCTGACACATAAAGTATTGGTGTTCCAGAAGTCTTCTTACTATGTAGAATTAGGATAAAGTACATGCACTATTACACATTACGTGAGTATGTGTTTGTCGGTGCAAGCTCTACGTATTGCAGTAATCTTAGTTTATCCTAGATTTCAAAAATTGATGTCATCTGTTAAACATGACTGAAAAGAGGCATCAAAAACAGGAAATTTCAGAACAAAGAAGAACCCTGAATGTTTTTAGTGAACAGCAGAACCCTTTGCAGTCTGCAATAAGGTCCTTAAAAAGTTGAAAACCAACGTCAGAAGGTTTTCCTTAATAGCACAAAATTATCACAAGTGAGTCATCTGTGTGCAAGAAAATATGTGATGAACAAAGAAGCAAATTCATCATTTGTACACCACCTGTTCACATTTCTGAAAGGTCCTTGTGAGTCTCAAATACATCTTTAATAATGATTCTAGATGGTGGGCATGTTATTGGAAACAACTTTCTATATGTTGTTACCCTAGAAGGCCTTTCTAGAGTGCCAAACATGGAAAGGGAACAGAAAAATATTAATGTAAATGTGTAGGCCTAAGCTGAAGTATATGTCTTAAGTTTTGAACGAGAAACTTTACCAAGTATAAAGAAGTGAATTTAGTAACAAAAAAAAAACAGATTTGTGGAATAAGAATAGGAGGAGAAAATGATCTGTATTGGTTTAAGCTCAGTATTATATCACAGTTTTTTTAAATTAAACTTGTAAATTATTAGAGAAATTTTGTTTTTTAACATTTTGGTAGTTGTCTTAGGATTTTATTGCTGTGAATAGGCTGTAAGGATTCAGGCATTATGCTGGCTTGCCCCTGTCACCTCGCAGAATGCAGTCAGGCAGTGATCTGGTCAGCCCAGGGTTCCGTGGCTATGAAGGTGCAAAGGACACCCCTCCCCCACTTAGGCTCTTCACTATTCTTTTCCTCTCTTTCCAGCTGTGCTGCTCCCCTGGGGCAGACAGGACTTTTCCTGTCTTCCCCTTCTCTTCTGCCCTCTCTGTCTCTGTGTCTCTTTTCTCTTTCCCTCCTCCCCTCCATTTTCTAATAAAACTTCTCACTAAGCTCTGTCTGCCTAGCTTGTTTGTTCCCCAACTTGATCACACTCGCCTGCCTTCACAGCTTCACACAGTGGACTATGTAGGCCTCCATTCAGGGAGATCCCTGACTCATGTCTGTTCTTGGTGGTTTTCCTTGGTGTAGGAGGGAGATTCTATAACCCCTTTCTTCTATCCTTGATTCTAAAGCCAGAACCATGTGGCCAAAGATGCTGCTTGCTGGAGCTGGAACATGGCTCCTTCTTTCAATGTACATCTTCACCAACTTTCTGTTTTCAATGGTTTCCTTTACTGCCTAAGCTTGGCCGTCCTGAAACTCTCTAGAGCAGCCTGGTCTCCTCAGAGATCTACCCACCTCTGCCTTGTGAGTGCTGGGGTTGAAAGCCAGGTTGTTTTCTAATTCCTTTTTACAGGTTGGAAGTTTAGCAGGGTGGGATCTTTCCCTGAGGTCACCACTCCCTTTATTCCATTCCTTAATCTGTTTATCTCCTTGAATAGAATATTTAGCTCCATTTTCCTTCCTAATGGCCCTTTTGTCCTCAGTCTGTACATTTTGCATTTTTTACCTGCTCTGCTTGCTCCTTATCATTATAGATCTGCATAAGAATGAACACTAATAACCACATGAAAAAGTCTATACTATGCTATTTTTCGATTTCCTCTGCCAGAGCAGTTAATCCAAAACTCTTCAATTTAGCCCATAGCAAAAAGCAGCCATATTCTTCAACCAAAATGTCATAATAGTCACTAGGCCGCATATTAACATTCTTCTCTGAAACCCCTTGAGCCAGGCCCCCACAGTTCAAATCCACCCTCAGCACCACTGTCTTCAATGTTCGTACTGTGTGTGGTATCCCATTCAGCTGCTGTTCTAACCCAAAGTTCACATTCCTCCAAACAAAATTATGTTCAGGCCTATCACAGCAATACCTCCTCAAGTCCCCAGTACCAGCTTCTGTACCAATATTGTTTTGTGATTAGTGAGTTGGTGTTTTGTTTTGTTTTTTGGTGTTTGTAGATAAGGTCTAGCTGTGTAGTATAGGCTTTCCTGGAACTCTTCAATCCTCCACCTTTCATCTACAAAATTCTGAGATCATAGACAAGCATCACAATGTCTAGGGGAGGCAGAGTTGGTGTGTATAGTTAGTGTGACCTAAGTATACAGTATTTATAAGCTTAACAGCAGTGGATTATTCTAGCCCTTCACATTCATATGGCGTACTGCCTCATTCAAAGCAGCTTTCAGTTCTGCAGGTTCTTTCATTGCCATTGCCAGATATAAATATACCATGTTGTATATCCTCTGTACAGATTTTGAGCATGGCATTTTATGTCTGTGTTTAGATATATAAATGCTCAGCACCAAATATATATCACCAATCTCCCATAGTATTTAGTGTTAATACAGTAAATACAGTACAAGTTGTAACTTAAGAGCAATAGACTGTATATATATAACGGAGAGGTGCTGGGCTGAACCATCTAGCTTTTTGTCAGTAAATGCTGTGATGTTCCCATAACCACAAAATCATCTAAAAACATGTTTTTTAGCATATTCATGCCTACCTTGAAAGACAACAGAAGAATTACCAGACTAGGAATGGACTACACTCAGAGGAGATTCTTAAGGGAAATTGGGATCTACTGTTCCTAAGCTACATCCTATGAGTGACTCACAGTGTTTTAGGACACAAAAGAATTATAATCTAGGGTGAAATGGTGGAAGATAAACTGTGACATTGAAAAGCAGCTTCAAATCCTATCAATTCCTGAAATTGAATTGAGGGGGGTCCTGGATTACTGGTATCCACAGAACATAGACCTAAATTATCTACAAAAGAAGATTAATATAGTTTATTTTCTCATTTTTTTCTGCTTTTGGGAATATAGTAAGTAGGGCAAAGTAGCAACTAAAAAGGCATAGGAAAATACAAGACAACAGAAACAAAAGTTCAGCATAGTAACACACAATAGAAACAGCATCACAGTAGTTCTGGATTGTAATTATCTCACCTGACTTATGAGTATCCATGCTTACAAAATTAAAGACAGGATTGACAATTTATCTTGGGAATTGGAAACAAGTTTTACAATAAAAACACAATGAATTCATTGCATGAGTTAAATAAAAGCTAAAGATGATGATGACGATGACAATGACGATTAGCCAGTGCATACGTTAGGAAGAAATAAACAGAGGAATTCATAAAGGAGCATGAGATATGCCTCAATTAGTAAAATACTTGCTGTTCAAACATGAAGAACTAAGTTAGATCTCTAGTACCTACATGAAAAGCTAAACACAATGTACCATCCTCATAATCCCAGTACTATGGAGGCAGAATAGTAGGATCCCTGGAGTTTTCTGGCTACTGAGTCTCAGAAAAATAAGGTGAAATGACTGAAGAAGACACCAGATGTTAGCCCTTGTTCTCCATATACTCCTCTCCCAAAGCACAGGGGTACAAAAATGATGGGAAAATTAAAAGAAGAAAAGGATGAAGAATATTATTTACTATATTCAAGAATAAACTTTAAAATGTGAGAAAACAAATAATTTTACATGAGCAAGAATTAGAAGGAATTATTTTTGAGAAACTTAGGAAGTTGGTAAAAGACATCAAGATAAATATTTGTTGAGTCTTGGAAGCTCAGAGAGTGGAGATGTGAATATCCCAGGACCTATCTTAAGTTGTCTTCTCATAGCATGTTTCATTGGAATACATTAAGACAAATATAAAACTTTGTATCCTAGTTTCAAATCAGCTCTTATGTTTTATTATAAAACACGATCATTGGACAGGGAGAACCATAAATTGGCATGCTGACCTTGCCTCTATGTATATTGAACAGTGTAAGAGTGATTGAAACCAAGCCATGTCATTGTGTTGCGGTAAACCATATGAATCTCAACTGTCTCTGGTTAACTATGTATACACCTATGAAAGTCAAGGGAGAAGTCTATGAACCCTGCCTGTGAGTGGTTGGTTGCTCATCCTACTGAGTTTAAAGATTTGTGGGGACTGATTCCCTATGCTATATCGTTCTGTACAGTTTTACTAATTTTTGCCAGGTTAAAACCAGTTGTCTCATCTTCTAACCCTTGCTACTGGTGTGGTTTTTACTATTTGACACAATATAATGAATGAATGCTTCTCAATTCTGGCTGATTATTGGAAT